AAATGGCCTGCACCATTATAAACTCTAAAACGAGCTTGGGGAATGCAGTATAGAAAACAAATTTTCAAAAAAAAAAATTATGTGGAACTAAGAAGACAAAAAGCGGACAGTCAATCTAAATAAGCCAAAATCTTCAATTTGCAAAAAAATAAACAGATCTCAACTGGAATCGAACTCCCGGGCTTTTTTGTCTCAAGCATGAGGGTTACAACTTGGAATGAATCTGAGCCATCGAGCAACGGGAAGCAAGTCCACAAAAAGACGGACAATAATCCGAAAAAGCACAAAAATACTAGTTTGTAAAAAAAAGTCCGACCGGATTCGAACCGCAAGCCTTTGCCGTCTAAAGTTGTTGTTTTAACTCTACGCCAGATGCGCCGGATAGTTGAATGGAGTTTAATGCATAATAGCCAAGCAGTAACAAAGCCGAAAATACCTCAGCTGAAACCCTTCATGCCGAAAAAAAAAATCAAAAAAATTCTGAGCTTATAAAAATAGAAAGTCCCTTTTCCCCTCAGAGCACACAGACACCCACAAGTTTTTTTTCGGTCGTACCGACGCAAAAAGAGGCCACTAAGTCAATATTAGTTAAGCCGAAAATTACTATGCCGAATACAAAAGACAAAAAATGAAAACAGGAGTGAAATTTTAACAAATCTAGCTGCTAAAATTACAACCTTTGTGAAAAGCAAATATCGTTTCGGCAGGATTTTTAAAATACTAAAAGCAACTGCAGTGAAAATTATTTACAGCTTAAATGAACAATCTTTAGATGTGGCAAATTACCCGACAAAACATAAGCCGACAAATAAAGGCCGAAATTTTTTAAACCGGAATATTTACCATTTGAAAAAAAACGGTCCTGGTCAGATTCAAACCCAGGACTTTTGCCGCAGGCGTATTCGTTACCACCAATCTAAGTCTGCAAGAGACACTACAGAATTTAAATTCAGTATGAACCAATGTATATCAGAAGTACAATGAGTCCTGTGGACAATGTGTAGAGGACACTGTACAATGAGTCTTGTAACTTTGACCATTCTGTGAACAAAGTTATTTAAGGGAGAAAGTCTAGTACCCGATAATAGTACCATTGCTTATCGCAAGAGTAAAAAAGTTACATTTACAAGAACATGACGACGTAACCATTCAAACAGTCATTCAAAAACATACCGAGCGGTAACTTAAACAGTAAAACCTGAGGAGATTCTATTTGAAAAAATTTCTCGCCCCATTCCTGAAACGCTCGAAACCAAAACAATACACTTTTCGATTAGACAAAGCAACCTGAAATGTGATGCAGTATCAAAATAAAATTACAATGCAGGGTCAATTCTATACGGGAAAAAAACCTAGTTCCTGATCACAAGTTCACTTGCTCCCGAGATCCAACAACTAAATTTGATTAAAGATACCAAAACAAAAACATTTTCGAGACTTTCAAAACCAATCAGTTTAGAGGATGATCGGAATTTTTTTCTAGGTTTTCAAAGTTAAAAAATTTTCTAAGGTAGCCTCAATTCTTACACAGCCACGCACGCTTAGCATGCACTAAAAACGAGACACAAGTAAAGCAGAGGACAGATGCTATGCAATTTCCAAATGCTGCAGTAAAATTTCCAATCAATAAAACAATTTTAATAATGAACTTTTATTTGCGAGTTAGGTTAGTAAAAAAAGAAGGTTCGTGATAATAACCTAAGCTCATGGCTAATGTAATCATGTGTACTTGCTTTTTCTGCTTTCATTTTCGAGCGCTAAAGTGAAACCAGCAGAGACCGATATCCGCGTGGTTTTACCAGTTTGTTATTTACCGAATAAATTCTGTCGGCGTTTTTGCTTGCAGCTGTAACAGAACAGTAGAGTTTGCAACAACTGACGCAGAGGCGAAGCTGTCTTTCACAAACACTTGCTCGAATGCGACTAAAAAGCAGCTATATCAAGTGAAATGATAAAAAAGTAGAAATAAATCTCGGCTACGTGTCGGATTTAATTTGCGACTTAGCAAATTTGAGTCTCACGCACTAACCACTCAAACACGGACGCTTTGAATCTCCAAAAACTAGCCACCAATAACGCAGCTACATTTGCTAAAAAAATGCCAATATGATGCAGCAAAAGTAGCACCAAATACAAAAAGACACAATTTTGCTTGCAATATATTGGAAAGCATAAAACCAAATTATGTATATATTATGCATTTCAAAAATATTGGATATACGTTGAGTTGGAAAAGTTCTGAAATTGAGCTTTTTATCATAATACTGCTGTTTAAATCAAATAACTTTTTTGATTCCTTTGATGAATTAAAAATACATCAGCTGTATTAACTTTTTACCAACCAAATGACAAAGCACATATGTTAAATGCTGCTACCGCAGCCTACCAATTCAAAACTGCCACCAAAAGAAGCATTTTTTTGCGACTTAAATTGGAAAAAAGGAATTTCGTAGTACTACATTTTGCTTCGCAAGCGTAACAAAGAGGCGAAGTTGCAATTCGCATACACAAGCAAAAATAGGACCGATAACGCTACTGGTAAAAACTGAACGAGTAAGACTTCGAGTCCACAAAATTTCTTTAGTAATGCACGCCAATCATGAGTCTACATAATTGCAAAGGGACGCAAGCCAATTATGACGCATTAGCAGTACCAGTCATTTGGAAAAAGAAATTTACCAACTAACATGCCTCAATTTATAAAGCTGACGCTTTTTAACTAGTATACGAAAAAATTCATTAGAAACATCCGACTCTGCCCAGATTCGAACTCTCTTAATTTGTTGGAGTCTCCTTCCCTAACTCTACGCTACAGATCTATGATATTTTGAAGCTAAAGTGCTATTTGTAATATAATAGTCTGTGTTAATATCATTAGCATAGACTTTCTTAATAGCTGGTTATTGATCAAAAGTGAACATTTTCAAAATGAACACATTTTGTCGCATTAAAATTTGCATTGCAACAAATTTAAAGTCTTAAATAGGAAAAGATAGAGTTCATACTGTCACACACGCTTTGCTTGTAAGATGACGTTGTATTTGAAAAAAAAATCGATTTATGTAGGTCGACTATCTCGAGTTTTTGAGCTCTGCGGAAACACTTATGCGCGCATACTTTGCAGAAGTTACCTGCACTGTGGATATTTGTTGGAGGATGAAAAAAGCATTTTATTGAAGCTACTTGAAAAAATTGTCGACTGACTGTTGGAAGTATCAATGTAATGAAGGGAAACTTGGTTTTCAAGTAAGTTAACATCACTTGGAATGCAGCCCAAGCGTACCATTGCAAGTTAGCGAACAGAAATGGAGACAAAAAACTTGAATACCAGCAAAAAATCAGCCTTTAGTACTACACTAAAACCAACCAGAATTATTTTAAAAAAATTTCAATTTTTTCCTTCAAACGAGACAAAACAAGTTGACTAAGCCCATAAAACATAAGCTCAAACCATACAGGCCAAACTTAAACCATAAAAAAAGAAGAAAAATATAAAGCCAGAGGTAGTAAATGAGTAAAGCTTTGAGTCTTCAAAATTTCTTAAGTGACGCGCGCCATTTATGAGTCTACATAATTGCCAAGTGACATGAACCAATTATGACGCATTAGCAGTACCAACTAACATTAGCAATTTACCAACTAACATACCTCAATTTATAGAGCGGACGCATTTTAACTAAAATACGAAAAAGTTTATTAGAAACATCCGACCCTGCCGAGGTTCGAGCCCTCTTGTTTTGCTGCTGGACTCCTTCCCTGCCTCTACGCTACAGATCCAAGATGCCTTGAAACTAAAGTGCTATTTGTAATATAACAGGCTGTGTTATTTTTTTTAGCGTTGGCTGTACTTAATAGCTGGATCAAAATGAACACTTTCAAATGAACACATTATTTCGCAATAATTGCATCGCAAGAATATGAGCGACTTAGGTTTGAAAAAAAGAAAGTTCATACTATAACACAAGCTATGCTTGTGTAATTACAGGAATAAATCAGCTTTTGCATACAGAAAAAAGTTTGCAGCCTAAGAAAAATCCGTATTGTGGCAACTAAGCCTACAAAACCAAAGCAGTCAAACAATGTTTCTACAGTGCAATTTTTTCCCGGAAAACAAGTTCAGTTTCATACATAGTGAAAAAGATGAAGTCCAATTAAGCTGATACTATTTACTGAGCGGCCGAATGAAGCTGTAAAGCAACAAATTAAATATACCAAAAACGGGCCGCTTGCAGTTCAGATAAGTAATGTAGCAACTACGCCGACAAACGAACGTCCGGAAAATCAATTTCAAACAAAATGAAAAAAAAAACAGCGTCCGGCCAAAATTTTAACCTCAGATCTCAGGGTGTAAATGCAACTGGATCAAATGGGAGGATGCTGGAAGTTGAGCCTCAAGATTAAATTAAGATCAAATTTTTGCAGATTTGCAAGAAAAAACGTTTACGGGAAAGACTAGTTCCCGATTACAATACAATTGCTCTAGCAAGTGTCAACACGAACCCAAAAAAAAGAAAATTAAGTACTGAGTGTTACCTTTTTTTCCGCAGAAAATAAAGTGCATTTTCAAACTAAAAGTCACTCAATTTTTTCATGTCATTTACACTTTTGTTTTTGGAAAGAAAACTAGCTTTTGATTTGGCAGTTCAATTTGAATCGAACTTAAAAAAATCCCAAGCCAAATAGCAAAAAATCAACAAAAGGGTAAAATCTAACACAATTTTTCTTATAAAAATTAAAAAAAAACAAGTCCTAAAAAAATGATAAATTACATTGTTTCTTAACAGATTTTGGCTATAAAACGGATTTTTTTAATTCTAGGCACAATTGATTTATCGGCCAGCATGTCAGATTGATTTCACACACTAAAACTAAAAGCGATTTAATAATGATACTTTCACCAGCTTGGTTATCAATATACGTGGTTCTCTCAGAAAGGTTTTGGTTAGTTTTTGTTTAAATTTCTATAGATCTACGTGTTTGAGTGGGTAGCACTTAGGGTAGAAAACGAGTCAAAGTGATGAAAAATGTTTTCAAATAGAAGATTTAAACAGTCATACTAATAATAATCATAATACAACTTGTCACATTAATATGAGAGCTAAGCAGTATTCACATTCCAAATTATCAGAAAATGATGAGGCCCCATTGATGGCGGTGTGTGTCACAACTCCAAATATACTTCTTCCCCACTACTTGCTTTTCACTCATTTTTAACGAACTGGAGCACAGAATAGATTTGATTCGACAGTGGATTGACGAAGCACACTCTTCTGTATATGACTGCCACTGAGAAAAGGAGAGAATAAAGGATGTTCTGTAAAAAATGTCGACAATAAAGGATGCTATATGGAAAATAGATATTAAATTGTTTCTGATTCAATTCAAATCAAATGGCGCAAGTGTTGTGGTGTAACGCAAAATATAAATTTTTCAGAACAGATAAGCTGGTTAGAAATTGAGAAGCACGCACAGATTGCTTGGTTGACTTTAGTTAGGCAAAAGTGGTTGTTATCGTCATCGTCCTCTAATCATCAGCTCGAGAACAGATTAGGGGTGAAGAGTTGACGACAAGCGACTTGTGCCAGTAGTTGAAATCAGGACACAAAACAGAGCAGAGGCAAAACATGGATTAACTACACTATGAGCAATACAATTTCATTATAGCAAAAAATAAAGAAAAAGTAAAGGCTAAAATTACATTTGCTAAACGAATAATTTTATAGGGAGACACGTTAAAAATTACAAGTAATGTCACGGCGGTTTCAATAGTTTTCAATAGTTTCTGTACAACATTTTGCATTTTGGGATGCATATGTTCCTCCATCGGAAGATAAAACCACTCCTTTCGTTCTTGGTCTGAAAGGCTGCGTCAGCCTGTCTCTTCTCTTCTCTTCTCTTCCCCTCTTGGGGCCAGTTGGGATAAAATTTACAAACTATGGATTATGTAGATAGAAACATGGTAGTGTTGGAAGAAGGATTTGTTCATTGCTCTCCTCTATGGGCGACATCAGAGGCCGTCTGAATATCGAGACAGGTCATCTCCACTTTGCATTTGCTGCTGAGATTGCTGCTGCATATTCTTTGGGTCATTGGTCTGCATTGGGTTCATTTGCTGCTGAGCATGGGGTCCATTGCCCTGCGTCATCAGGTTGGGTCGCCCACCGGACACCGCATTAGTTCCTGAGGTGGTTCCCGCCGTCATTGGTCGTATCTGTTGCATCATCATTTGATTCTGATTAACCTGTTGCTGCATCATAGGCGCGCCAGTGTCGAACCTCCTTTGTTGTACGGACGGTGGGCCATACGTCGCATTACCTGGTTGCAGCGGGAACTGTTGTATAGTTGGTCTTACAGCTGTAGGTTGGCCTTGCCAGTTCGTGTTTCTGTTAGTGTTCATCATTTGGCTGGGACCGCCATTTGGCCCCATAACAGCGGGTGCGGCACCGCCTGGTTTTATAAGTGTCATCATCTGAGGTGTGGATCGCATCGGCCCTTGGGGCGCTTGCATCATTCCTGACTGGACGTTGGATTGCATCATTGGTTGTTGTTGCTGCATTTGTGGAGTCACAGCACGAGGAATTTGGGTCATAACAAATGGGGGTTTCCCTGAAAATGTAAAAAACGTGCACTAATTCAACGTCGGGACACGAGCAACATAGATCTTTAAATTAGCTGAAACTTCATTCTAATGTTAATGTTCAAGAAAACTTAGGCTCAATTTTGGCATGATATTAATCAGAACTGATCTGAAGTTGCGATAAATTTTATTTGAGTGAGAGGATTGCTTATTGCTTGCACCAGCTGTTGGTATCAGCTTTTATTTACCTTGCATCTGCTGCATTCCTGGTGTGGCTCCTCCTCGCTGCACCAAATACATGGCTCCCGGTGGGTTCTGTTGCTGCTGCTGCCACTGTCGATTCTGTCCCCCGTTGGGCCCAGCCGACATTATCTGGTTCGGGTTCTGCACCTGCTGTGTGGTGACATATGTCTGTGGCTGTCCTTGCGGTCTGGCCTGGAACTGATTCTGGTTCGGGGGGTGTCTCATCATTTGCTGCGGTTGCATTTGCATTCCAGAAGGGACCATATTGGGCGTCCTGTGCATGTTTCCATAGGCAGTACTGCTCACGGCAATTTGTTTGTGCATTTGATTCATGTCTGAGTTTACAGCCTGTTGTTGTTGTTGGGACACGAGTACATGCTGCTGCTGCTGCTGTTGGTTAGAGTGGTACATATTTCCGCCCATCTGGCTGATATTCTGAGGATTCTGACCAGCGTTCCCCATGTTGTTCGACACTTGATTATTATTCATCATAGTATGTTGTTGCGTTTGCTGCTGTAGTTGTTGGTTATTCTGACTCACAACATTGTTTTGCATGTTTTGAGACATTTGCTGATATGCACTACTGTTAGTCTGCTGTTGAATCTGATTGGGTTGGTTTTGGTTAGTATTCATAACTTGCTGTTGAGGCTGCTGAATATTTTGGTGTCCGTGTGCTTGTGTTTGCGTGTTGTTCACTTGCGGGGCGTTCTGAATATTAGATAGGCCAGGTTTCAGCTTCTGGCCTGTGTTTTGTATCTGATTCGCACTATGCATTTTCTGATCACTCGGAAAATGGGCATGTTGTTGGTTATTCGCATTACTTTGCGTGCTAGACTGGGGTGTCGCGGGAGCAGCTGCAATTGACCCTGGATTACCACTGCCTACCATTGCAGCTCTTCGTCTCTGCCACAATACATCGCTCTGTCGCCTCAACTTCATTCGGATATTGTGGCAGTAGGGCACCACACATTTAGGCGCGTTGCAATGCTTCGCATGGTAGCAGCAAATCTGGAAGAACTGCTTGCAATTACTACAGGTGTTTCTTTGATCTTTATGCTCGCAGTTCTTTGCATGTTGCACTATCATTCGCATGCGCACACAGTTTCTCACTCGGCAGTTCGCATCCCTACAAGTGACAGCATGCGGCAGGTTTTTCAGTGTCTCCATAAATGCCTGCTTTTTGTTTAGCTCAGCGGATGCTTTGCTGTTCTGTGCTTCGGGGTCATTCTCCGGAGTTCTTCGCACCAACTTGTGCTCATGGGTGACCTTTCCGTTGCAGTTGACACAGAGGTCGAAGTCTTCGCAGGTGTTGCAGTGAAATCTAATCTCAACAATCTGCTTGCAGTAATTACAATTGTACTGCAACCTCTCGTTCAATTGTACGTGCAGTTCGTACAAGAAGCACATGGATGAGTACTTGGTTCTCCTCAGAGAAGAAAACTCCCAGAACTTGTCTCTGGCCATCTGCAAGAATGAGTCCCGTCCGTCCATCAGTTCACATTGCACCAGGGGATCTGGGTCTTCGGTGGTCTGTTGAGTTGGGTTTGGGTTGATAGTAATAGTGAAGAAGTTCTCCCTGTGTTTCTCCATGGTTGAAAGCACTCTGTCTGAGAGGTCGGCTGCTGGACTTCCTTTTTTGGACTTGTGGTTGCTTTTCTTACTCTTGCTCTTTTTATTCACTTTCATTGACTTTTTGTCGCCGCTGACCGAATTTGAGCCTCCAAAGCCGTACTGTGACACAAATAACAATAAATAATTCAAACATAATTAAGAAATAACTAGCGAGTATTAAACATTGATTTCATTGTTAATCACATGTATCAAACGACACTGATCGTGTTTTCAAACGGAAGCAATGACGATTAAATGAAAGTACGGTCGTTAAACAAAAGACGCGATAGTTTGATATCGTCAGAAAAAGTTACCAAATAAAGGGGCCTAATAGCCGTACAATTCTGACCACTCAGGGGGAAAATAAATACCCCCATCGTATTTAGAGAAAAAAGGCTCTTGTTCACTTCTTTTTTTTTTTAGAAATTCGCCCCTTCACCACCCATTACGTCTTTTTACTTATTATTCTACCAATTTTTGACCGATCAATATATTCTATTTTTGAGTGTGTGCACGCCATAAAACAAAATTTCTTAACAAAAAATTTCCCAATAGTGCCAAAAACGGCATTTTAAAACGCTTTGATCCCAATTTTTCTCCGGCGTCGAAATTTTTGCCGAAATAGGAACATCAATTTCAAAAAAGACTAAATTTTCGATTTAAAAATAATTCTATCAGCACAACTTAGGTCTGGCATACATATATCTTCCTCGACATGCATTTTTCACACGATGAAACAAACAATCAATCTACTGACGTCTGCTGAGTCGTCCATGTACCCTCCGTCACTGAACTCATCACTGTTCAACTGCTGCTGCTGTTGCAGTTCCTTCTTCCTGCTTTTCTCCTCCTCGTCCATCTGCGACACCAGGTCTTCTATCGTGTTGGGCCAGAAGTCCCCTTCGAAATAGGGCAGATGGACAGTAGAGAAGTTTGCCGCACCTCCGTTGTCCTCCACAGAACGCATGATATCCTAAGCAACACAACACACACATACTCTACTCTTCTCTGTGATCCAGTACTCTACTCTGTGAAACTATACTACAATTCAGTATTCCTACAATTTAGACAAGCTACTTTCCTCGAGGCAGTCACAATCACCTGGACCAAAACATAGCCAACAGATAGTTGGAAAAGAGTAAAAAAACGAACGGAAAAAGAAAAAAACTGACTCGTTTAAATTTCGGTGAAAAACTGAAAAATTTTAATTCCGGTGGGAAATCTTAAAAGAAATCCACTTTCGAAATTTGAAGTCGATCGCGTTTTTCGTGACCTATGCACTTTTGCTGTTTACACAAGCAAAGCTTGTGTTATAGAATGAACTTTTTTTTCAACCTAAGTCGCAAATATTGTTGCGACAAAATGTGTTCACTTTGAAAATGTTCAATTGATCAATAACGAGCTATTAAGTACAGTCAACGTTAAGGATATTAACATAGACCATTAAATTACAAATAGGACTTTAGCTTCAAGGTATCATGGATCTGTAGCATAGAGGTAGGGAATTAGACCAGCAACAAAACAAGAGCGTTCGAACATGGGCAGGTTCGGATGTTTTAATGAAATTTTTCGTATACTAGTTAAAATGCGTCCGCTCTATAAATTGAGGCATGTAAGTCGATAGAATTCGTTTTTCGAATTTACTGGTACTGCTAATGCGTCATAATCGGCTTACGTCACTTAGCAATTATGTAGATTCATAATTGGCGTGCGTCACATATGAAACTTTAAAGACTCAAAGTTTTACTCATTCAGTTTTCCCCAGTAGCGCTATCGATCATGATTGTGTATGCGAAATGCAACTTCGCCTCTGTATTAAACTTGAAAATATATCATAAATCACTCCGCGAAAAATCAAATTTTAGCGCGAACAAATTTACGACTTTTTTCCCAAAAATAAAATAAAAATTCACCAACACTTATACAGGAGTCTCTTCGTTCATCGACTCTTAAATAGAGGAATAAATAATCAACAACACTTGCAACTGCAATGAAAGTTGCTTGCAGCTCAAGAAAAATCCGCGATGAGTTAATTTCACTACGCTAATCGACTTTTAATAACCCACCCAACGCCACCCCATAGTTTCCAACCGTCGTAACAAAAACTATCAAAAATTATAATTTAAATATCTCATATATCTTAATAATCCTTTGGAATTCTCTCAAAAAATCCCTATTTATCCCTGGTCAAATTGGAGGTACTACTATGACAGAGTGGTCCCTTGAAAACAACCATGTCCCGTGAGAATTATACTCTCAAGCCTAGAGCTCTCAAAACGTTTAATATTATGATTTAGCTATTCAGAAAGATATCGAAGTATATTTCCAAACAAATTTTAACTTTCGTTACATCGTAAAACCTCCCCCTCACCATTTTAAGGTCGAAAATTCATCAAAAAAAACCGACAAAATTGAGTTTTCATGACAATTAAGTTAACCTAATTATGGTAGCAAAACCGCCGGCAAATGAGTTGAAACGAGCATATTTCTTGAACTAAACAATATTAGAATTACAATTTTTAACCTGAAAAATTTTGCTAGATAAATAATTAAATTATGCAGTTTAGTTTTCAAAATTATAAAAAGCTAAAGTCACGCGTGAACATTCTATCATAGTTTCTTTATCAGGAGACCAGTCTATTATAGTACAACCAAATTGAAATTAACAACGAGGATAGCCGGTTACTGTGAAAGTAGCACAGAATGTTCCGACCATATAGAAAACTACGGTTTAGGTTTTTTCCAAATTAGTGTAATTTTTTCTGCTGGATGTGAAAAGGATCTGAGGTAAAAATATAATATTTGTAAATTAGACAGTCATAGTAACATAGGCAAATTTAGGACAAAAATTTTTGTAGAAAATTGACTAGAAAAATTAAAAAAAAAACTTGAAAAACCTTTTTTTGAAGTTTTTTGTTCACAAAATGAAGCTAAAAAACTCCAAAAACTAGTTTTACTTGCATAAAATTAAATTTTAGGGTCTTAAATTAGCTATAATTTAGCTGTTGTAAGACTGCTTGCCTGCTTTATTCGCTCGAATTAGGAAAAAAATTCAAACCGGTTTTTCTCGAAACTGGGAAAAATTTTTTAATGTCGTTCGAATCACGACTGAAAGGGCTTCATTATGATATATCATTCAACCCAGTCCGACGATTATTTGTGGTACCTGATTTTGCGTGGAAAACAAAAATAAACTAAAACATACCCGAATACAAAGTTCCTCTCCATTTTCATCGGTCGGAACAAAAACATAGCAGTTGGGAAGTTTCCAACAGATAGTTGAAAAGAGCCAATGAACGCAAGTGTGACTTGTTCTTCTTTTGATAAAACGTCAACTTTCTAAAAATGGATGGCCTTAAAGCTTTTTGAATATCTGGAAAAATTGATATTTTTCGATAAAATTCACAAAATTTGGGAAAACTGGATCAATGAGTAAAACTTGTATTTCGCTGGGAAAAAACTAAAATCCAGTTTCGAAGATAGAAGCCAATCACGTTTCTCGCGACTTTTATACTTTCGCTGTTCGATAGTGGAGTTTGCCTTCCTTTTACAGAGGCGAAGCTGCGCTTCGCAAACACTAGCAAGAACACGACCAAAGAGCAGCTCTATCAATTGAAATAAAGAAAAAGTAGAAATAAGCCTCGAATTAGCAAAAACTTGCTACGTGTAGGATTCGAATCTGCATGCTACTGCAATTAAGACACTTTGAGTCTCGCGCACTATGCACTCAGCCACGCAAGCTTAATAACCGACAAACGCTAGTCACGAATAAAGCAGCTACATATGCTAATAAATTGCCAATGCGATTGTCGCACCAACTACACTTTATTTTGCAAGTAATAAATTGGAATATAACAAATTGACGGCATCCACGCTACCTTTGCATGTAACAAATTACAAAACATAAAGCCACATTATGTATAGATTATGCAATTGAGAAAAATTTCGAGATAAATTGAGTTAGAAAACTTCTGAAATCGACTTTTCATTACTGTTATGTTGTTTGAAACGAATCACTTTTTTCGGTTCATTCGATGAACTAAAAATGCATCAACTGTGTTAACTTATTTCTATTCGAATGCCAAAGCACGTACTATCAAAAAACTGTAAAGATGCCCCACCATTATCGGGGTTACTTATGGTGAAAAAAAGAAGGTTCGTACTAATACAATAGCTTTACAAGTGTAAACACAGGAAATGAACTGAACTTGAAAAAAAAACAAAAGTCTAAGCGCGAAAAAATTAATTACAACCTGAACAAAATATAAGAAACGAAAAAAAATAGCACGACCTATATAAGGGTCTGAACACCTCGCGAAACAGCTGGCAATGCCCAGCCACCGATAACTTTGCTAGAAAGGAACATCGAATACAAGAAGGAAGTGACGATACTGGGAGTCCAAATCGACTCACAGCTGAGGTTCGGCAACCACGCCCAGAAAGCCTGCAAGAAGCTCCGCAAGCGAAACCAGATACTTCAGGCGCTGGCAGGCAGAGACTGGGGGATGAGTGCTACCGACCTCAAAAGACTCTACAGAGCTTATGTCAGACGCGGCGGTTTATACGCAGCGGAAGTTTGGGGTGCGTTCACAGCAGACTCACACATAGCTCATCTGGAGACCTGCAACAACATGGCAGCCCGGGCCATCACAGGAGCACCGAAAGGCTCGCCAGCAGCCCAAACAAGGGCTGAGATAGCGCTTATGACCATCAGGCAAGAAATCGAGCACTCTGCAGCCAAACTGCTGATCAGATGCAGCCAGTTCCCAGAAGACCATCACCTACGTGCACTGAGCCAGCCAAGACCACGCCAGAGACTCAAGTCCCGAGGAAAAGACAACACACCCCAGGACTGGAGATCTACTGCCCGGAGACGCCTAGCCACCATCGAAGAAGGCAGAGACCCGAGAGAGGCCCTGAACATGGACAGAGATGACCGACGCCTAGAAGACTACCTACACCAAGTCCCGGCCCATCACTTCCATTGCAGAGCAACCGGAGGGCAGCCCATGCCGACAGAAAACAGAAGAAGAGAAGAAGAAGTTATCCTGCACAAACTCAGGCTGAATAGGGCGCCATTCCTACAAGCAACAAAACACAGACACGGACAAGTGGATGACCCAAGCTGCCCCTACTGTAATAACGGAGAAGAAGATACAGAACACGTACTCCTACATTGCAGCATCTGGGATAAAGAGCGGAAGGACACACTTGGAGAAAACCCGAAACTAGACGTACTTCAGACAAATACAACCGCCGTCTTGGAATACTTGGGGAGAATTGGGGTTTACCCCCCGTCAGCACTGTAGATGGCCTACAACTAACAACAACAACAACAACTACTACTTTCATCAATTAATAAACAGGTTCATTTTCATCAGATCAATCAGAAATTGAAAGTACAAAAAATAACTCCTTTTCAGCGCTTTCTCCACAGTATTTAGCAGGGTATAAATTTTGACATAAAGCTTAGCAGGTTTTACACAGAGGCGAAGATGCGCTTCTCAAATACTAGCAAGAAAACGAAATAGCAGCTCTATAAAGTGAAGTAAGAAAAAAATAAACCTCCAATTACTTAAATTTTGATACGTGTCGGATTAGTTCCTGAGACCTCGAGATTAAATTTTGATACGTGTCGGATTAGTTCCTGAGACCTCGAGAGTCTCATGCCCTTCCCTCTCAGCCACGGATGCTTAACAATCAGCAAACAGAAAGCATATATCAAAAAGCCACAAATAATAGCAAAGTGCCAAATGAGCATTTTTATTTGATAGTTAGCTTGGAAAAAATAGTCATAATGATACATTGCGCTCGCTAGCCGGCGCAATAAAAGCCAATTCAAGCTGATGGGCAACAAATTTCTTGCTCAATCAAAAAACACTGGAGGAGGAATAATTTTTTTAAACTAACGGACAATCGAGCGAAAAGATAACTGTTGACGAATGAACTTAGCTGACCTTATAATCAGCGATGACTCTGTCTTGAATGGCCTTGTCCATCATCTTCTTGTACCAGTCTTGAAGTCTCTTTGGTTTCGGGATTTTCTGGTCTGGCGGGTGGCAGTGGAAGATGTAATCATCGCCCTCGCCAGGTGGACATGCCCAGATGTGAGCGTGGGAGTATCCCATTTGCTTGCAGTAGTCTAGGTAGTTGATTAGGATCTCGTGGTAAACAGCTGTTCGCAGATTCTTCGGCTGGAAGTAGTGCACGCTGTCCAGATACGACAGATACATGTGTCTAAACAAGAAAGCCATGTATACAACTTAAAATTTTACATCGAATAAAATAAAGAACTGAGACAGTTCAGCCTGTCCATAAAATCACATTTAGCTTTAAATTCCTTAATTACAACGTAATGCAAAATCTTCCTTATGATAAGGAACGTGTCGTCATGCACAGAACATTCACGTGAGAAGCTTGATTATGTCATTGAGTCATTAAAGCACACACTGACTGACATGAAAGAGTCAATCTGACACTCACCTTCTGTTAGGAGGCATGGCGTCCGTCCCGTACTCCTGCACGTGCATTCCGTAAAAGCAAATATCAGTTCCATCAATAGTCTCAAACGCAAAGATCGCTTTCGACTTGTACGGAAAGCTCGCCGGGAAGTCTGCGTGCCTATAAACAGCGTAAAACAGTGATTTGATCAGACCATACACCACTTGCGATACATTCAAACATCACGAATCGACAAAAATTGTGAAAAATCGTTCATTCTCATTTAAATTTTGATCTTTGCCAGAAAAGCTCCGCTTAAACCGAAAAATCCAAATAGCCGCCCTTTAAGCCGGAAAACAGAAAAATTTTTCCAACTCAGTAAGGATGCTGATATTACTCTACCATAGATACGCTAATTTATTGTAAGAAGCTCGCTAAAAAACGTAACTAAACTGAGACTTACTTTGACCTGACGCCCATTTTGGCATCTAGAGTTTTTTCAGAACTGGATAGCACTCTAATTGTGATATGACCACAGTTTGGCTCACGCGCTTTAGTGAACTTGTTTACTCTTGTTTCCAGGAAATTCGAAAGTTTGTTACTCGGGAGTTCTGAAACAAAGCATTAATCGTATCTGTAAAAACATAGTTCGCAATTACGCACTTAAAATTAACACTTCATAGTTCAAAAGAACGTGTCAGTGCACCTGCCACACCAGAAAATCCCGGTTGTATAAATGAAAATGGCGGAATCCTTCCATGCACAAAGGACCAAATACGCGAAAATTAGGTCAGCCAATCATAATTCAGTATCATAAGTTTGAAGGAAATTAGCGATACATTCAGTCACTTTGGACAATTAATTTTCATTGGTTGAGATTTTTGCACATTCGTAAAAGAATGGAGCGAATAGCCCCCGATGAAAACGTCTTTGGCAAAAACTCTTTCGGACTGAGTGGTTCAAAGCATATTTCACGTACTTTGGGCAATAAAACGGTTGTCTTTTCTCTTTGTGCTCCTGTTCTTCAGACAGGGCTCACACGTGAATGTACTCCAGATGTTCTCATGATAGAGAGCACAGATCTGGTGCCACTTGCGGCCGCATTCTGTGCATTCTACGAAGGGTTCCGGTTCCACCTTGTTATTGACCAGCTCATCAAAACTATTCTTCTCAATCATTCTAAAATCGAGAAACAATTATTCTGAAAACTATCTACATTTAAACTAAAATTAAATAATATGAAATTAAACATTAAATTAATTTTTCCCCCAATTTTCTTTTGAATTTTTCAGTGACATTGAAAAAAAAAACGCATCGCCTTTAGGCTATTAGACTTTCGATAATGTTCTATGACTTAAACTTTTTCAATAACAAAACATACGCAAGTTAAGAAAACTGGATCAAAAAACTATTTTTTTTGGATAGGAAACTTAAGAACCATTTTTGAGAATAAATATCTAGCTAGATCTCGACTGGATCCTCGACTAAGCTAGCTCCTTATTTTCCGAAGGCGCATGCTTCAACTATAGACCAAAGGATAAAGTGCCTGAAAGGTATTGATGTTCCATTCTTAAGGAACTCAAATTTATAACATAGCCAACAGACAGTTGGAAAAGAGTCAATGAACGCAATTAAACAAAAAAAGACGTAGATATTTTTGAAAAAATCGCAACTATCGAATTTCAAAGAAAAAATTGATGCCCTTAAAGCTCTTTGAACTTCTGGGACAATTGATGATTGGCACTTTTTATGATATTTTTGATAAAATTAACCAAATTTGAGAAAACTGGATCAACAGGTAAGTTTTCACTTTCGCTGTTCGATGTGGAGTTTGCCTTCCTTTTAACAAAGGAAAAGAACTGAAAATCTAAAGTCAAACCGCGAGAAGTAAGTTTGAGCTTGAACGAACTTCAAGACTTTTCCATTAAAAAATCATCACGAGCTACATAAGAGTCTTAACTACGATCATCGACTCTTAAAAAAAGTTGTTAACGGGAAAAATGTCCAGTTCCTGATTACAAGTACACTTTCTCTCGCAAGTAAAAAAACATTCAACTGTTTGGTATGCATTACAGCTTACATTGAGAATGCTTTTGGGACGAGTGGTTCGTCTGTCACTGTCATTTTGTTAGGATCTCCTTCCTGGAAACACTTTGCACAGTATATGTACTTTTCACTGATCAGACCGGGCCTCGGAGACCTAAACAAACAAACAAACACAATCATTCACTTTGGTGAAGGTAATACTATATAATCACGGCTAAATTTCACAGACCACATTTTTTCATCTAAGGACCGTTTTTTATCAAATTCAAGATGAAAATTACAATCATATGAGCTGCTCAATACTTTGCGCAGAACGACTACTGTGGCGTTGTCTTAGCTCAGACATCTATGCAGTTTTTGGACAGAAAAAAGTAGCGTCATTGTCAAGTTAAAATCATGGGTCACGCAACACAGGACCTCAAACTCTGATTTGGTATAGATCTCGCTCTCGCAGACTACCACACCATAGCAACCCATAGTTCGTAACTTATATGACTTACAGTGTAACAAATAGTTAGCTTGGTGTACCTGTTGATCCACTGGTAGTACTTCTGGTCTTTGGGGATGGGACAGCTGTTCTTGCTGTAGCAGTAGAGCATCTGAGGAAGGAACACGTAAGTGTGTCCACAGCAGTAACCCAACTCCTCCATGATCGGATCGATGCTTTGATCGAAGATCTCACTCAGCTAATAAAAACATCAAATTTTTCTGGATTGTTAAAGTGTATATTAGGGAAGCAACAAACTTATTAATAACCGCAAGCTTATGCTTTTTTGCTTTGATAAAAAAACAACTTTTTCAAGATAAAATGACAATCAACATTTGAATTGACAATTTGAATAAACTTCTCACAATGTTCACGAAAAAATTTTTTTCAATGCAACTGTTGCATGAAATTTATGCCATTTGGGACATTTTTAATTTTTATGCCATTTGAGACGTAATTAACCTTATCAATAATTACCACACATTCTCAAAAAATGCCTGCACTTGCACACAAAATCTTTTTTTTTCTAAAAAGATGATAGAAGAAAACTCGAATCAACTGATTCTATCACCAGTCCGCCCTTCACAAAATGAGTCCATAAGTTGTTCAGTTCTATCTAAGACAATTCAAGCGGGATCTAGCTTCCGACGTATTCTCCTTAAGCCGAATAAGTACTTACCTTAGTGCATGACTTGTACACTCGTGTGCTTTTCTTGTTGTACAGCCATGCATTGTTAAACATGAGCTGCACATGGTCTATGAACTCCCATGGGTTACTGTAGACTCCATCTTCCAGATTCCTCCTAATGGTCGACAGATCCATTGGCTTCTTAATGATGGAGAAGTAATCAGGGATATTGAGGAGAACTGGATCGACTGGTTGTTTGAATGCCCACGCATCTTCAGCCACGAACATCTTCTGGAACGCCGGCCACAGGGCATTTCTCAGTTCCTCCTTGGTGAAAGTCTTAATATTGCGTTGAACTTTCGTACTCTCCTCGTCCTGTGGAAAAACATCAGTTATAATTAACCTATTTTCCACTCCACCTTTGCATCCGCATCGAAATTTCACATTTAGGGACTCCATTTACCCATTTATTATTTTTAAACTCCCATTCTCTTGCCGTTACAATTATCTAGCTACAATACGCCTCGATTGAGTAGCAAAAGTCTCGAGAACCACTTGACAAAAGTATGTGCAAATAGCTTCTCGGTGATTAAGCTCTGTATCGTCAATTGCACTTTGATTTCTGGGAGAGTTTGAACTACAGAAGCGCTGGTAACATACCTTGGGCTCTTCTTTGATTGACTCTGTTTTGACCTTTACTGTCCCTGGCTCTTCTTTCACTGCTGTTTCCGTCGATGCGCCTCCACTGCAGTTAGCATTGGTCCATGGCTTATCCTCAGGGTCTGGCTTAATGCTACTGACATTTTGATTATGAACGACCGGATGTTCTGAACTCTGTGTTTGTCCTTGGCTGGCTCCCCTTACTGGGAAGGAAGGCAACAAGTTGTTGATCTTACTCTTATTATCTTCTAGCATTTCATTTAGGGAATTCTTGAACGGCCCGGTCGCATCTGGTTCAGATTTGACGGGTTCCATTTTGACATCCCGCACCACCTAAACAGATTGAACCATCGAGTTAACTCACTTCTTGGGCAAAGTTAGGATAATGAACCATGCCCATAACAAGAATAACCGGTTGCCATGCAGCTAGCACAGCATGCTCCGACCACACTAATATAAGAAAAGTTCAAAAATGAAGAAAATATCGAAATGTCATTTTTTTCAAAATTCCGTTTAAGGGCGGCTGAATAAGATAAAAAACTGCAAGTTTAAGAGGTAAATACATTTGAAATCAAAATATTGTTGAAATTTAATTGGAGGTCAGCCTTATCATTTCTCTAATTTAGTCTGAAACCGAAAAATTCAGACCAACTTTTCTCAACACTGACGCGCCTTTTCTGATTTTCTATGGAATCTAAACCGCAGCCAATTGGTGGAGTGGTCGAAACGCTGATTAATGTTTGCAGGCAGTTAGATATTGGAGAGTTAATAAATGTACTGCGAATTAAGACCCTAGAAGGTTGAGCCTACCGTAGGAGGGTTAGGGTTTGACTGATTAGTCTGATCCATGGGTATCCAGTTCTGAGTGCTTGTCTGGTTCTGCTGCTGGTTGGCACTCATTTGATTCATTTGTGGTTGATTTTGTGGGTCTAAACGAGCAAATATGTACTGATTGTTATGCGAAAAATTGTTTTCGAAAAATAGCCGATAAATATCCAACATGGCCAACAGACAGTTGGAAAAGAGTCAATACATGCAAGTAAACAGAAAAAAACTGACTTGTGTATTTTAAAAAATCTCAGTTTTTAAAAATATATAAGGCCTTTAAAGCTCTTTGAATTGCTAGAACACTATATAATAAATACACTTTTGATAAAACAAAGCAAATTTGAGAAAACTGAATCATTAAGAATTTTTTTTTACTTCGCTTGGTTTTTTCTGACCTTTACACTTTTTCTGTTAGATAGTGGAATATTCCTTCTTTTAAACAAATGAAGTGAACTTAAAAACAAATCAGAAGTCCAACACCGAAAGAGTAAATTTTCGACTGAACAAATTTTAAGACTTTTCCTCAAAAAAATAACGACCTGCAGTCATTAACATAGAAGTTGCAACTTATTGATTTGAACGAGCAAATGAACGAAATTTTTCTTCACGCAAATCTGTTTTGACGACACATACATTTAAAGTTCTTGAGAGCTTATATCACTTTACAAAATTAGACACAGCATAACTGCTAATGAGAATCTTGTGCATTGATTGGAGCAGAAGTTTCACCGAAATATTGGCTGGCATAGCATAGTTCTTTTGAAAAATGTTGATCCTCAGCGCGAACTTATTCAAAACTTTCAGCCGTTTTCTGACGCCGGGCAAAGTAATTCTTTTTCAATTCTGTTATTTGTCATTTTTCGGCGGCATAATGTGGAAGTCAAGCTTGTCAGCTTCCCGAAGAACTAATTGGAGCCCATTAATTCACATTCCGTATATTGCTTGCGAGGATGTTTTCACAACAAGAACACCTCTGAAACTAGTTATGATATACTGGCTATTTTACGCCTTGAAAACGATATTTTTCAAGTTTTGGCCCGGCTAAATATTTTTCAAAAAGTTTCATCTAGCATTTGTCAAAATTTGAACCCTACAAATTGTCGCAAAGAAAACGACAAAAACGTGAAGAAAAATTTGTTCATTTGCTCGTTGAAATCAAAAAAATGCAACTTCTGGGTCCCGTGTTTGTATATAGAGTCTAAACCACGTTCATCGACTCTTAAATACAGATTTATTTTTGATCTAAAAAGCACTAGAAAAAATATTTAAAATATCGTCTAATTCAGTCCTCTTTTTAGAACTGACTGCTGCTTTATTGACTGAGCAGTGTACTGTAGTGTACATACTGTTGCTGTTGGGATTTGCCGTTGTCGTCATTTGTCTTTTCTGCTGTCTCTTATCTTCGATCTCCTTTTGTATCCTGTATATCTTCTGAGCCAGTCTCAAAAAGTAGTCCTCCTTATTCTCCGCCGTGTCATACATCTCCACTTCTACACGCTTCGCATAGTTGATCAGGTTCTCCAGTCTCTTATCCATCATAACTAGGTCAGGGTTGGGAAATATTGTTTCGACTAGTTTATAAACCAGCAGGCATCTCACATTTTCTTTCACTTGCTCGTGCCACTCTTTGTGACCACAAGGCTTTTCTACACCCTCTTTTCTGAGAACAGCCATGAGGTACTGGTTATGTTCGTTGTTTGTGGCAGCATTAGCCATATTTGCCGCAACATTCCCTCCGCCTGCGCCACATCCCGATCCCGCATTTCCTGGTATCGCATTGCTACCAATGTTATTTCCCCCCATGACTTGGTTGCCAAAGTTACCTCCAGACATGTTGTCGCTGCCGCCATTATTTCCTAAGTTTTCTACATTGAGGAACGCTTGCGCATTGGATCCATTTGGTATTTGTTGATTGCTCATCATCCCTTGTCCTTGGTTGATCATGGATCTCTGCGGCTGCATAGCATTGCTTACATTCATCGGAGCCCTAATTTTGGGCTGTGGTCCGTTGTTTGCAAACAAAGTTTTCTGCTGTTGCATTTGGAACTTTTCGTTTGGGTGGTTCATATTATTTACAGCATTTGAGTTCATATGCTGTCCTGGGAAGCCTTGGTTGATATTTTGGTTCATCATTTGCTGATTGCTCACCTGACTGCCATCTGGGACCACACGTGGACCATTTTGAAACATGTTTGGGGGGTTGTTATTTGACCTTATTTGACCCTGGGGCACTGCTTGAGGGAGCATTCCTCCATTGGGACCAGTACTCAAGGCCATGTTATTATTAGTCTGCAGACTCTGTTGCCCTTGAAGGACAAACTGCCTCTGTTGATTCTGGGGCTGCATTTGACCTGCGTTGTCGCCCAATAATGAAGGACTAGTCATCGACATGAGACCTGCCTGTGGGTTGGCGGGAGCATTTCCACCTGGTAATCCACCCACTGATTGCATCAAGGCTCCTCCAGGTGATTTCTTGGATGTGTTGCTTGCATTAGCGTCATGGGACTTCAATGGATAACAGACGGGACATTCTGGTCGGTTGCAATTTTTCCAGTGCTGAATGATCTGTCTAGACGAAGAGCAGTGTGCCACTCGGCATGCCTTTCCCTCTTGGCACTCGTACAGATGCTGCAACACTCCCTTCATCGTGCTACAGTGGGGCAGTTTGCACTTGAGGCTTTCGGGTCCAGCGGACTTGGGATCCTGTTTATTACACTTGTGGGCATGCAGCAGCAGAATCAACTGTTGCTGGATGAGTTTTCTCTTGTCAGTATCCACTGAGTTGTTAGATCCCCCGCCGCCGCCGCCGGTACCTAGGCCATTAGAGGCGTTAGGAGTGGGTGTGGCTTGTGGAATCTGCGGCGAAGCTGTGCTCTGGTTGTTCTGTGCTGTGCTGCTGTTGTTTGTGACGTATTGGGGTAGGCGGGGTGAGTTCTGCTGATGCGATACGTATTGAGCTTGCTGATTTATCTGCTGCTGTTGAGAAGGCTGAACAATCTAAACAGTTGCTCTCATTAGTACCTCATTGGGCACGTCCATTTTCTTTCAAAATGATGTCAAAAGAAAGCTGAATTTATTCACAGCGTTTTTTATTCCAGATTCCATCGTCTGCTGCTTTTACCTGAGACCTTCAATTATAGTTAGTAGACATGAGTATTATCGCCTTCGTGGCATGTGGGAGCAGAAAGATGATTATAAAGCACAATAGCAGCCGAAAAAGATTTCCATCTAATTGACAAAAAAATCAGGCTAAGGCATTATTAATTCCAACTATTCTTATTACTTCTAGCCTTGAAAAGGAAATTGAGATGCAAATGGACATAAGGGTTTATTAAATTTTGCTTAATATCGACCTTGAATTGAAAATGATGGTCAATTATTAAACACAGTGCCCATTTGTTTCAGTATTCAAGGCCAAAAAAAAACAAATCCAATCTCTTATTAATTCCGACTATTTTTAACATTTCTAGCCTTGAAAAGTGAAACTGAGATGCAAATGGACATAAGGGTTTATTCAAATTTTGCTTAATGTCGACCTTGAATTTAAAATGGTTGTCAATTATTGAACCCAGTGCCCCTTTGTTTCAAAGCCAAAAAAATCCAATCTAATAATCCACACTTGTTATACTACATTTGAGCACTTGACTACATTCGAAAGCCCAGGACTATTCAGAACAACTTAGACCTGGGATGCTGCAGGGTGCTGTAATTTAGAGTGTGGTTGATGCTGCTGCTGTTGCTGTTGGCCTGCGGCGGAGGTAGGCGCGGAGGCAGGCTGTGTCATGTTGATGATAGTGGTGCCGGTGTTAATGTTCTGGGTGAGGTTCATGTTGATCTGCATTCCCCCTCCTCCCCCTACACTGTTTCCGGGGTTGTTTCCGGATCCGTTATTAAACTGGATCACTTCTGTCATCCCACCTTGGTCCATCTAAAAGGCAGATGAAGACTTTCAAGTAATACGTAAACTTCACTCCGCAAACAAATCCCCTTTTACACTAAATAATTTATTTTGTCTTTAATAAAGGTAAAAGGATAGAAATAGCTATTTTATTTTCAGCTATTATTAGATAAATGTTATTTCTTTTTCCCACCACTTCACGACGAAGTTTAAAAAAGGAATCACGGATAAGCCTACGTCCCCCCCCCCCTCCCCCGAATTCGACTACCTCATTAAAATCTCGTGGGTAGTCAAGTGTCGTATACCAAAAAAGCCTTTCAGCAATTATTCAGATTTAAAAAACCAGTCGTCGCAGTTTCGAGAATAGTTGGCCTAAATTTTTCCATTTTTCAGAATGGATAAATTTCAGACTACATTTACCAACTAATTTTTTTATCAATTTTTCATTAACGTTGGCCATTATTTTCTTTTGTTATAACTTAATAAACAATTAAGTCCCCTATTTAAATACTAAAACAAGCGTGGTGGGAATATTGTGTGCTAATTGCAGTAATAAACTATTTTTGCTTTTAAAAAGGTGTGGCGGCGACTGTACTTTTGCGAAGTGTGGCGACTGTTGATAGAAGGTGGTTGAGGTGGTCTGCTGTCCTCCGAGCATATTGTGAGACTCTGCCGCCTGCATGCCCCCAGTGAGTGAGTTGGACCTGCTCATGACACCACCGCCGGGGTTGATTGTAATGAAGTTGCTATCGCCAGATGTCGTCTGCTGGCTGCTGATTATGATTTGATGACCAAATGGGTTAGTGCCGTTGCTGTTGTTACTTGTTCCAGCAGAGTTTGGTCCCTGTGGCAAATTCTGAGAGCGTACGCTAGAGTTGTTCCCACTGCTAGCCGAGAACTGCTGGGTTTGCGATTGGAAATTCTGCTGCTGGAACATTTGATTGTTCCCTGACACGTTGAAACCCATGGAGCCAGAAAACTCCTGTAAAAAAAGCGAACTGCGTGACTTCTACCAAGAACCATGTATCACAATGATCTGTATTTTACAGAAAATCTAACAATAGAAACTCATTACACACAATATTCAGATCAATCACACAATATTTTGCGGATTAACATGCACTCAAAGTCACTGATGTTTTTTGTCGGTGGGTCGTTACCTGTTGAGATTCTACTCCATGGTTCGAATTAGTGAGGAGTCCCGTGAGGTTGGGGTGATGGGTCTCGATTCCATTCCCACCCACTCTGCTTCCCAGTTGCTGTGAAGTGGCAGCAGGGGAGTTGGAGAACACGTCGGCCGGAAGGTTGCTGCACAAATCATCAATCAGATCTAAATAGCAACAATGACCTTCATAAACTACAATCTTGAGATGAATCATGATAAAACCTGTGTCTCCTAATCGCCTAAATTTGACACAGGAAAGCAATATTACTGCCTGGTCAGTCTAGTTGAGCATAAAAACCCTGGTCATGATAACACTGACCAACTACTAGCGCAAAATGACAATTGAACCAAGAAATACCGATCGACGTTTCGTTCAAAATAGTATACTATTTATATTTTACTTTGAGTAAACCAAAATGTTCTTTCGCTCATTAAAATATCGAAGAATGTGCATCTCGAATGCCTCTGTCTGATATACGGCGACTTCATGTCGCAGTAGTTTTCACCTGAAGATGTTTCTGGCAAGTCGTTAAGAGATGTGTTTGAGCCACATTGTAGGAACCCCCCGGAGGCAGGCGAAGACTGCGAATGCGGTTGCACCATTCCTCCTACGGACGATGTTGACGATGCTACTGAAGAGGGTACTCGACCCATGCCACCTACTGACCCCATCATACCACCCGGGGGCATCATGCTTGAAGCAGCTCCCGATTTGGCGGCAGGTGAGCTTTGTGATCTATGCATGGAGCTGGGGGGCGTGGTCTGGGACTTGGGCCTCTTAGCGGCTGGGGGCCCAATATTGTCGACACTGGAGGGTGCGGCGGGTGACGCCGACATCTCCTCAAGTTCACTGGTTCACTACTTTGAGGTCAATTGAGTTGTGTTCGCTACTGAAACCAATCCAATCCGAACTATTTCGAACCCCACTGCGGCGACGTGATCGTACCTTCAGACGAACATATATAATAGATGCCCGCTACTTTTATTGTCATCAACGCATACGCGTAACAGCAGTTTCATTTTTTGTCGCCAATTCAAACTTTCAAATGCAAATTAGCTTCTAATTGGGCTCACATTTACCTGAAAAAAAAAAACAATTCAAAATCAACAAACTTCACAGTTTCCATTTTACAAGTACGTTTCAACACTTTAATTGGCTTATTGATGGCATTAAGAACTGTTAGCCCACAATTCAGATAAACCAAGATCCCAAGACAAAGGTTTTAGAATTGGAAATCCTACATATCACAACCGTGTGTAAAACAGCGGGACCTCCTGACAAAGGATAAAGTTGAAGCTGCCTACGAGACCAGTCAAGTCAAAATAGTCGCTCGTGCTGCAGGTGATTAAACGCAATATGCAATCAAACCCTAAATGAAATGAAACCTGGTTTGAGAGAAAGGCGAATCTTTTAAACTTTAAGACATTTAGGTTCGCCTATCTCAACTTCATTTCAAACAACTTAAGTATGTGAGACTGTCATTTTAATTGAAACCACTCGGATATTATTGAATACTTCTATGGGCCTCTTAACAGTCAATCTGACTTTGCTTTCCACCATCCCGCCTCTAAATTTAGCTTGAAACAATTACAACTTGTCTACTGGATGTCAACTTGAATTTCAGTAGCAATATACTTCACAGCATTTGGTCGAGTTCCATTCTTGTCAAACCACAGCTTCCCTGCTCAGTGCCCTCACGGGACGCACAATTAAACTCATTCTTAGCAATGTAACAACATTACCTGTGCCGCCTCTTTTCTTAACATATGTTTGGTCGTATCACATTACACTCTATGGGGACCGACCACGGCTACGTAAATCAAAACTAAACCAGCCTGGGCCGTAAAAGTAGGCGGCTGCCGTCCTCAGAAGAATGCGTGTAAATTAAATCGGCTGCAAATTTTTTCCCAACTCGGCACTTAAAATGGATAATCTTTGTACACTCTATGGACATGTGCACTCGGTAATGGATTCAGGTGTAACTTTTTAAGCTTTTCTGGATTCTAATTTAAGGCGTTAATTACCACAAGCCGAGGAATTTCGGCCGCAAGACGAAATAAATCGATTCTGGCAGACACTTAACGCCTCGCGCACGATCGGCCCAAGTTAACCCTGAGTACCCTTTGGGAGCAATCTATCCTTTATTTCCCTTGCCTGATCTTATTTGGGAACGAATTTGATTTGGTACATCCCTACGTAGGAACAGTAAAAAAAAAGCTAACTTAACCCCATTTTGACCAAATTCCAGTTGGCTTTTATGAATTACGTTCGCTTATTTCTTAATCCCAAAACATCTTGTGAACGCAAGAGGGGCAGGACATTAATCGGGCCCAAAGACATTTTAATGATACTCTTAAAATGTCTTTGGCTTTGATACTTTCTTAGCTCAATTTGCTTTAAAACTGCCGCAAGCTAGCGAATAGAACAAATGAGACAAATAACTGTCGAAAAAAATTCAATTTCAGAAAAACAGTCCAAAAATACGACCAACAGCATTTAAAGTATTTCTAGTATTCAGCGCGCGGCCATCAAGCCGACAATACGGATGTACTCCATTTAGCCGAAAGCAGACAAAAATGCTACAAAAAAATTGTTTAAAAAAATTTAAGCAATCAAGTTTGAACTTTTACACCACAACCGAGCTGATTTTTTTTAAAGTAAATTTTGTCCAATTTTTGACATGGCACATGCTTCAGAAATGACACAAAAAATGTTGACTAAAAAAACAAAACACAAACCAAAACCATTCTAATTGAATAAAAAATAATCAAAAAACTCAAAATTCGAGTTTTTCAAGTGTCAAAATAAAGGGAGGACTGTCAATTGAAGACTCTCAGACAAAAAAAGTATTTTTGTTCAATTTCACAAGCTGAAAAAACAAGGTCCGACAGGGCTCGAATCCATGGCCTCAGGTAGCTCAAGACAACAACGTTACCTCTGGACAAAGTGGAGGTGAGCCTGAAAGTTGTTAAGGTTCAATAAAAAAGCAAGTTCGGTTTCTTACAGATTTGAAGAAAAGTTGATTATTAGACACTTGATTTCCGTTTATTAGACACTTGAACTCCCAAGTCTTATAATCTAATCATACTTTCCAATTTTGTCCAGTTTTTAATTAGTTAATCAAAAGCAGGCGAAGGACTTTGCCTAATCTGACTACCGATTCAATATTTCAAACTAAGAATTAGAATGTAATATACTTGTAATCAAAAAAGAAAGAAAAATGAGTGACTTAGAAATAAAGAGCGAGTTATTTGCCAGTCATAGTAAGCCAAATATGTGATTAGAAATATGACAGAAATGAGTTTAACAATAATCGAAACAACAAAAACTGATTTTTTTTCCATGGAAAATGGTTTACTTCTGAATTGTTTGTTTTGAACTTTTGATGTCAGATTTCAAAGAAAGCCAATAAAAACAGAATCAGACGACATACATTTTAGTTTTTCGTTAAAAAGAAACAAAACGAACCGACGGAAAACAATCCGAAAAAATAACTACTGCTGGAAACGAACAAAAACTATTTATTACTTAAATGGAGGTCGTTTTATTTTAATTTTCAAGGAATTGAGCATTGCAAAATCCGATTGCAAAATCAGTACTACCCGATTGCAATATCCTTACTAATCGCTAGCTATATTACTAGCTGTTCACTTGAAAAAAGTATGTTCCGCTTTGATAACGCTTGCTCATCACAGGCATCAAAATCTCTGTTTGCATAAAACACAGGTGATCAGTTCGAACATAACTTTTGTCGTCCCAAGCACGGGTGTTATCTCTGTGCCAGATACGCAAAACGAGTAATTCAATTTAAAAAATATTAGATCAATTTGAAACAACTGTGTCATTCTCACGTGCGATTACTGTGAACGCCATTTATAAGGGAAAAGTCTAGCACCCGCTAGCAAAGCCATTGCTAACCGTAAGCTTAATAAAACAGAGGCGAAGATGAGCTTTGCACCTTGTTGCGATACAACAATTATAGGATGAGTGCACCATGACTCTAAAAAAAATTAGCAAACAGAACTTCGAACAAGGTTAGCATTGAAGAAGGAAGTGGAAAACGATTTAAAAAATTTAAACGCAAAAAGCATTTTTTAGTTTTTGAATTTATTTGAGTTTATTAAAGACGTCCTAGAAGGGTTGAATTTTGGCAGTCAAAAACTGGTGTCAGAGTCTTATCAACTGCCACTTTTACACTCCAAGAAAAAAAAACGGTAAATGATCCGACAGAATTGAAGCCGACATCCAATGAGCTGAAAATTTAAACAAAAAAACATACCACGATATCAGTGGCGTATGCAAAGTAGATTACAGACCAGCTGAAGCTGGATGGAAAAACTTGTTTAATATTTTCTAAGAAAACGTGCTGATGCGCAAACGGGCAATATAAGAAATCGAAACAAGCAAAAATAGGTTTTAAAATTATTACTTTGAAAACTACTGAAATAACAAATTCTTATACAGAGTTTAAGAATTTTCTCCCCTGCTGCGATGGCCTCTATTTTCGATTCGGCGATGTGACTTTTTCGATAAACTGCGCCTGCAGCCGCTTTTATCGTATGCGGGATTTTTGATCGCACTTTACTCTTCAAAGGATTCATGAGAGCTTTTCCTATTCTCGTCTTTCCTTAGCAGATTAGGAGGTCGCCGTTCTGTTTGTCCTTGTGGTTTATCCTCAATAAACCCATGTTCCAATGAGTATAGGAGTTCTTTCCGCAACTCGGGATCAATTGTGCTAGTTTCGTCGACAATTCGTCTCAGATCCTTAGTGGAAGTGTCTCGTCTTGTGGCGTTCCACCTGGCATTGGCTTCAAGGAGTATTCATAGTGCTTTTGCTCGATCCTTATCCCTCGCTGAATCGACTTCTGACTTAAATAGCGGGCTGATTTCCCGACTATTCTGCCCCTTCCGTACGATTTTGAGATTCTCTCGACTGATCAATACGTTTCTTTAGCTGTAAGGCAGTGAGGGCCGAGCGCTCCACCTGTCTTTATCTAAACGATCAGAGTTTTTTACGAAATTATCCCCTAAGATTTTAAATTGACATTTAGGAGGGCGTCCAAAATGGGCTTCAAACGGAGAGCATTGATTTGTCTTTTGTTTGCTCCATCTAAGATCGCGAATTATCGTGCTAAGGCAAAGTTTTATTGATGTAACATTTGCATCCAACAACATAACTCCCAATCTTCTTTTGATAGTTTGTATGGTTCGTTCAACTGATCCACACCCCCTGTGGTCCCCCACTGGGCAGGATTTTTGTTCAATATTATGATCGGAACAAAATTTTTGCATTGTTTTTCCCTTAAAACCAGAGAAATGATCGGTTCTTACATACTCCGGTATTCCGTGAGTATCAACGTAAGTACGTAGAAATTTCACTGATGATTTACCCCCAGTTGACTCAGTGATTTTTACCGACGGAAATTTTGAGTATCTATCTATAGCTACAAGTAAGTAAATTTTCTTCCCCTTGTGATCTTCTAAAGGTCCCGCATAGTCGAGTTGTAATTCTTGACCCGGCTGCGATAGCAGTGGGAGTGGTTTTGAGTCATTCTTCGGTATTATATATTTAGCATTCTTACCAAAGCGAGTGCAACTCCTGCATTCTTCGGCCATGTTTACAATGTCCTCGTGCATGTGTGGCCACCACAGATACTTCGATACGTCTAGCATCGCTTCCTGCACGGGGTGGCCACGATGAATCCATTTGTGAACTGCAAGCCGCAGCTGGCCTGCGACAGCTAGCCGACCGTCCACGAGGATACAATCATCCACCACCGACATCTGATGCCAAATCGAGTTCGTATAAGGTCCCATTAATTCAAAGCTGTGGCGGTCGTTATGTTCAATGACACGCCGAGGTCTGTCCATCCATGTGTCCTCGGTGGTTAGTTCAGCTAGTGGAACTCGATCGAATAATCTCGACAGGTTAAGTACATTGTTCTCTACGTTCTTCTCGGCCACGCTCCCGTCTCGACGTGCGTTCGATTCTTCTTCCTGCTATTAGGCTGACTTCCGGGCTGTCTGTTGGGATATCCGCTGTTAAATCCACCTCTATCACTGTTGTCCCCTTTA